AGGCTCCGTGGGTGTGGGACCCTCCCGGCCAGGTGTGGGATATAATCTCCTCGTGTGCCCGTTTGCTTAAAGCACAGTATTGGGGTGGGAGTTACCCGATTTTCCAGGTGTTGTGTGTCTCTGTTCCCCTGGCTAGGAAAAGGGATTCCCTTCTCCCTTGCGCTTCCCAGGTGAGGCGATGCCTCGCCTTGCTTGAGCTCTTGCTGGTTGGGCTGCAACAGCTGACCAGCACCGATTGTCCGGCACTCCCCAGTGAGATGAACCCAGTACCTCAGTTGATAATGCAGAAATCACCTGTCTTCTGTGTCACTAGCGCTGGGAGCTGGAGACTGGAGCTGTTCCTATTCGGCCATCTTGCTCCACCCTGGGCCTTTCTTTTAAAAGAACATTTAAAAGCTAGAATGCAAAAACATAGTAGTTAAGAGTTCAGGATCTCAAGACAGGATACCTATGTGAACTCAACCACTTAATAGTTGTATAAACTTGAGTAACTTTACATATTTCTCTGTGTTTATTTGGGAGTCATAATTCTATTTACCTCCTAAGTATGCTTTGGAAATTAAATCATGTAATACATGTAATCACTTAAGACAGTGTCTAGCACATAGAAAACATTGAATAACATATTGGCTATTATTTAAACACCAAAACTCATTGTTCCTTATAACCATAGTCTCACATTTACAAAATCACATCATAGGACACTTTTTTTTTTTTTTATTTTGAGCTAGAGTCTTGCTCTGTCAGCCAGACTGGAGTGCAGTGGCATGATCTCAGCTCACTGTAATCTCCATTTCCTGGGCTCAAACAATTCTCCTGCCTCAGCTTCCTGAGTAGCTGGGATTACAGGCATGTGCCACCATGCCTGGCTAATTTTTGTATTTTTAGTAGAGACGGGGTTTTACCCTGTTGGCCAGGCTGGTCTGAAACTCCTGACCTCAGGTAATCTGCCCACCTTGGCCTCCCAAAGTTCTGGGATTACAGGCATGAGCCACCACACCAGGACACACTCCTTTTTTTTTTTTTTTTTTTAGATGGAGTCTGTCTCTGTTGCCCAGGCTGGAGTGCAGTGATGCAATCTTGGCTCACTAC